GTAATTTATTATACTATATATATTCGTGAATAAATTATAATATAAAGAATTAATTTAATAATATCAACAAAATGACAGCATCAAGTTGCTGTTTCAAAATGAAAATGATGTAATGCCGAGAATTGAGATATTATTATACGAATAAAACATGTTGTTATAAACAGTTTAAATAAAATTTGATAAAGGACTGTATTGATACACAGATTTTGTGAAAAAATACAGTTACTTTTGACAGCATAATAACCATAACTAACTATAATAACCATAAACATAACTAGCAGTTTCACGTGTCCTGAGAGTGAACATCCGAGTGCAAAGAGTTAATTTATTCGTCGGAAATTGCGTACATGACGACGATTTAAATATACCGGGTCAACATGTCCCGGTGGCCGCAGTCCGAGAGTTAAATATTTTGTATTTATTTTTCTCCTAGTTTTATTTTATATTCTCCAGGACAAGAATTTCATTCTTAGCACCCCCAAATTTGTCAGTACCTATTTTAATTGGTCCAAATTTTGACAAAGAATATTAGTTGCTTTTTGTTGTAAAATTCAGTCGCTGACCGATGAATATAATAAATTTTTCCTAATTGACGCTCAGTTTGAAAACAGAAACAATTTTAGGAAGAGGAGGTACGATTCTTCGAGCCTTGCGGCTCGGCAACTATAAAATGTGTGTATAAATAATATAATCATATCTCTCCTTCCTAAATTGTCGATTTTTGTGTACAAGCTGAAGGATAATTGCAGAGAATTTACTGTAATCCTCGTCTTTGGATCGAGCACAAACGAATGTCAAAGCAATACAAGCGAGTAGAAGAATGGATTGCACGGTGTAAGAAATGTGCTGTAAATAATCGATTCTCCTTTAAATAGAAATTGTACTAGGTCAAGTAAAGTAGTCTGAACGCGTGAAATTACGCATTGAAAAGGTAATGCAGAGCGATGGATAGTGGTTAATTCGGTGTGCGATTGTAAATTTATTCAACGTTCCGGCTACGGATGTGAAACTCCATCTGTGAAACGTGATTGGTTTGCGATAGAATATGAAAATATGGTTTTTGATGATTCCATGAATTTTATAATCTACACGTGATTACAATGGATGTGCCAATAAGCAATACACTGATTGCTTTTAATTAATTAATAATATCAATTCCAAACACTGTTTTGTCTCTTTATTCTAGAAAATGGTATCGTCAAATATTAACCCGTTTCACTCGAATGGCGGCGACTCTGAGGCGCGGCTAAAAATTGCTATACCACGTTTCAATACGATATTGACAGTATCAAATTTGTTTATATTTTGGGAAAGCTGTTAAAAGTGCAAATACACTGCAATAAGATCATATACATATGTATATAAGATGCAATAAATTGCATAAAATGAAAATGCTATAACTCAGTAAACATGTTTTCTTGAAATCAAAATAACTTCGAGTGCGAAGGGTTACTGTAGTAACACAAGCTCTTAGTTTTGAAACAAATACACGTCAACGTTTAGCAAATGTAATTAATTATTTACTAGCGTACTCAACATATATTTAATATTTCCTTGAGATCTAGTTGAAG